ATAAACTCACATCTTTATTTAGGTGGCATAAACAATAAGTCAAATTTAAATGTCGGCATTATTGAATTACAAGTGCACACAGGTCCTTACATTTATTCGCTTTAATGAGTCAAATTTTAACTGATAATAGAACAAGCTTTACTTAGTTGTTACAAAAGATTTGTCGAATGATGTGAGTAAGCTTTTTCTCTGATTTCAATAAGATGCTTCATTATTTTTTTTAGGTCAAATTTCTATTGAATAATTAGCTTTATGTGGAATTGCATCATTCAATACAGTGTCACCACATAATAAGGGACTAATCTTATTTTTTAATAAAGTAAACTCACATCTTTATTTAGGTTACACAAAAAATAAGCCAAATTTAAACATAAAAGTTTATTGAATTAGAAGTGCATATAAGTTCTTACATTTATTCGCTTTAATAAGTTAGTTTTCAACCAATAATAGAACAAGTTTTACCTAGCTGTTATAAAATACTTGTTAAGTGAGGTAAATAAGATTTTCCCTATTTTGACAAGATGTTTCATTAGGATTTATTTTTTTAATCAATTTTATATTGAATAATTGGCGTTACATAGACTTGCATCATTCAACGTGGTGTTACCACATAATAATGGACTAATATTTTTTTTTGTAAAGTAAACTTACATCTTTATTTAAGTGACATACAAAATAAGTCAAATTTAAACGTAAATATTTACTAAATTAGAAGTGCACATAGGGTTCTTACATTTATTCGCTTTAATGAGTCAAATTTGGATTGATAATAGAACAAGTTTTACCTAGTTGTTACAAAAAATTTGTCAAACGATGCAAATAAGCTTTCCCCCTATTTGGACAAGATGTTTCATCACATTTTTTTAGTCAAATTTGTATTGAATAATTGGCGTTACGTAAACTTGCATCATTCAATATGGTACTACCATATAATAAAGGACTAACATATTTTTAGTAAAATAAACTCACATCTTTATATACGTGACATAAAAAATAAGTCAAATTTAAACATATACATTTATTGAATTAGAAGTTCCATTAGTTCATACATTTTCTTTACTTTAATAAGTCAAATTTGAACCGATGATAAAACAAGGTTTACCTAGTTGTTACAAAAGACTTGTCATATGAAGTAAGTAAACTACCCACCTCGATTTGGACAAGATGATTCATCATATTTTATTTTTTTTAGTCAAATTTGTATTGAATAATTGGCGTTACTTAGACTTGTACATGATAATGGACTAATTTCTTTTAGTAAAGTAAACTCATATCTTTACTTAAGTGACACATAAAATAAGTCAAATTTAAACGTAAATATTTACTAAATTAGAAGTGCACATATGTTTTTACATTTATTCACTTTAATGAGTCAAATTTGAACCGATAATAGAACAAGTTTTACCTAATTGTTACAAAAGATTTGTCAAATGATGCAAGTAAGCTTGTCCCCCATTTGGACAAGATGTTTCATCATATATTTTTAGTCAAATGTTTTTTGAATAATATGTGTTATGTAGACGTGCATCATTCAATGTGGTGCTACCACAAGGCATCTTGGAAGATACTTGGAAATTCCTTTGCATCATAAGCGAGTGGGTCGGTCATCTTTCTCTTATGTTTTGGATCGAATGAATTCTAGAATTGCTGCTTGGAATCATGCCAGTCTATCTCTAGCAGGTCGTGTTACATTATCTAAAGCAGTGTTATTAGCAATCCCATCATATCCAATGCAGGTGTGTTCATTATCGCAAGTCACCTGTGAAGAGATTGATAGGAAGATTCGAAATTTTGTTTGGGGTTCATCTCCACACTCTAGACGTTCTCATCTTGTGGCCTGGAAGCAGATTTGCATGGATAAAAAAAATGGAGGCCTTGGACTGCGGAGTATGAGGGAAATGAACTCAGCATTTATCATGAAGGTTGGGTTCAACCTCGTAGCTCATCCAGATGCCTTGTGGTCAAAGTTCTTACGTGCTAAGTACAATGTGGAGGAAGGCATGACACCAATTATTCATGCTCCAAACAGCAGCTCCCAGCTTTGGAAGGGAATTACGCGTCATTGGAATATTATAATGGATCTAGTCGGGTGCAGTTAGGCAATGGTCAGTCCACTATGTTCTGGCTTGATAGCTAGCTGCCCAATTGTGGTCCTTTGATCTCATATGCAGGTTCTCAGTTTTCTATTAGTGATACTCTTCAGAAGGTGGTGGACTACGTGGATGAATTGGGGCAATGGAAATGGAATTCTCTTCGACAATTGCTTCCAGATTCTGTGCTGCATCGATTTATGAATTTTCTTCCTCCTTCTAGTCAAGATGGCCAGAATCATTTAATTTGGAATGGAACGACAGATGGCAAGTTTACTGTTAAGTCAGCATATGCAATATTAGCCATTAAAGATACTACAATCCAACAGTTTCCTTGGGAAAGTGTTTGGAGATGGCAGGGGCCAGAAAGAATTCGCTTTTTTCTTTGGTTAATGGCAGGGGAGAAGCTGATGACTAATGTTTGTAGACTCCGCCGCCATATGGCTCTTTCAGATCTGTGTCCTAGATGTAATCAGTCTAGTGAAACTATCCTTCATACTATTCGCGACTGTCCACAATCAAAGGAAGTATGGTGCATGATAATGCCTCATATAAATCAGCGTGAATTTTTCAACCTCAACCTGCACAATTGGATCATTTCTAATTTAGACAGCTCAAAGGATTGGGGGATGGGGTCGGACTGGCCTCTTTTATTTGGAATCTTAGCCTGGAAAATTTGGAAATGTAGGAATTCTTGGGTTTTTGAAGGTGATCGCCAGAATGCTTATTCACTTATTCGTTCAGCAATTGGTTTCAGAGATAGTGTCGCTCTTGTAGCTAACCCTGTTTTTGGAGCGGGCAATCAACCAAGGAATCGAATAGAGAGATTGGTTGCTTGGTGTTGTCCTCCTGTGGATTGAGTTAAGCTTAATGTTGATGGTGCATGTGATGCTAATGGTACTAGGACTGGGTGTGGAGGAGTTTTTCGCGATGCCTCAGGAACTTGGATCGTCGGATTCTGTAAAAATTTAGGCTCAGGTACAGTTTTGCATGCTGAGTTATGGGCTTGCTTGGTTGGTTTGGAGCTAGCTTGGGATAGAGGTTTTAGGCAAGTTTGGCTCGAAGGAGATTCTCTTTCAGCTCAACAGCTCATTACAAATGGGTGCCACCATGATTACCCTGCGGCTAATTTGGTGAATCGTATTCGAAATTTGATGCAGCGAGATTGGCAGATTTATATGTCTCACATTCACCGTGAAGGAAATAGAGTAGCGAACTTTCTAGCCTCTTACTCTTATGGTTTCTCTTGGGTAATTCAGGAATTTGATTGTCCACCGTCAGGTTGTATTGATAGTCTGTATGGTGACACTATAGGTGTTCACTGGTCTAGGCTTTGTGCCTAGTTTCTTTTTGTTGTGTTTTTGTTTTAATTTCCTATTATTTCCAAAAAAAAAGGACTAACTTTTTTAATAAAGTTAACTCAAATTTTTATTTAAGTGACATATAAGTCAAATTAATCCACTATAATTAGTCTAGTGTGGTGATGTGTTTGGGTAGATTGTATTAAGTTATGTGTTCAATTCCTACTTGTATTTTTAAAAAAAATCAATTTTAAATGTAAACATTCACTATATTAGAAGCGCTCATAGGTTTTTGCATTTATTCGCGTTAATGAGTCAAATTTTAACTGATAATAGAACAAGCTTTATCTGGTTGTTACAAAAGACCTGACATATGACGTAAGCAAGTTCGTTCATCCCCTAGTTTGGACAATATTTTTCATCTTTTTTTTTTTACAGTCAAATTTGTATTGAACAATCGGCGTTACATAGACTTGCATCATTCAATGTGTGCTACCACATAAGAGACCTAACTTTTGTTTTAGTAAAGTGAACTCGCATCTTTATTTAAGTGACATAAAAAAAGGTCAAATTTAAACGTAAAGATTTATAAAATTAAAAATGCTCATATGTTCTTATATTTATTTGTTTTAATAAGTTAAATTTAAACCGATAATAGAACAAGTTTACCTTGTTGTTACAAAAAAATTATATATTATTCTTAATTTATATATTTTAAAAATTAAATTAAATTATTTTTAATACATGTATGTACTTTTGTATAATTTTAAATATTTTTTATAACTTATATTTTTAAATTTAATTTTAATTAGTTATACACATATTTTATAATATCAAATATTTTTTTTTAACTTCTTCTCCATGTTGATGTATCTCTTCTATATAGTTTCTCTTTCTCAAATGTTTATGTCCTGGCAAAAAAATAATTTCCGCCACATATACATAAATGGTTTTCTGAATTATAAATATAAAATTATTACAAAGATTTGACTTTTGTAACAGTTATTAAGAAACATCAATTCTTTTATCAATGTATTAATGGTGATAGTATTAATTTATTAAAGAGACTTACCCTAAAATAGATTTTAAATTTAAAAGCAAACACTTTTAATTATTTAGCATTAAATTATAAAATAATTTTTTTTTTACTCTTTCAGTTGGTCCAAGTGAAATAAAAAATATTAAATAGTTTGACTATGAGATAAAGAATATTTAAAATAATGTAAAAATACAATGCATGATTAAATAATAATATATAAAATGAAAATTAAACTCGTTGCAGTTTCGTTCATAAATTGTTTTGAATGCACATTAATGTCCATTTATTATAATAGTATTATAAAGAAAAGTGGTAATATAATTAAATCGAAGAAAGTCAATTAATTTTTTTTGAATATGTGTGTGTGTCATAAATGCAAATATAAAGAAATATGTATTATTACATTAAAAAAAACTCCAATGTTGAGGTGGCATTTTGACGCATTATGTTGTGGTCAAACTGAAAGACCATGACCATTAAAGTACCAACCTAGCCGCACCTTTATCATAGTAAGTTAGCAAACTCCTTCACTTAGGTTTCTAGTTCTCTACTCTCTCTCTCTCCTATTCTCTTGTAAGAAACGAAACCTATGCGTTCTTCCGTTTCTTCAAGATCCACCCTTCTATAAATTTGCCACTGCTTCCATATTCCTATTTGTATTTGAATTTTCCACCTTCCCCTGTATACACTAAAAAGAATGAGTCAGAGACTGGGACATGGTCAATGGTTTTAGGTGGGAAACTAGCCACAACACCTACCATTTACTGCTCTATGCTTTTCCTTTCAACCCATTATTACCCTTTTGCTTTGAGCAACATTTTCTGTTGATGGGTTTCGAATTCGATTGAAAATTTTGTGTCTTTTTCATTACCCTCTACCCATTTACCTAATTACCCAGCTTAGCTCTTTCTTTTTTAACATGTTAGGGGAAGACGATAAAGACCTCGCTTCCGGTGCCGGTGGCCGTGGCGGTGGTCATCGGAGAACATATTCGCGTTCAGTTTCATGGACTGACCGGTCGCCGGCGACTCGCAAGCCGGCGGCGAATAACAAACCAAGATCGTTGCTGCCACCCCTTCAGCCTCTCTCCATCAACAAGCGGAGCGTTGAGGAGTGGCCAAGTGCTGGATCTGATGATCTTGGAATTTGGCCACTTCCAGAGACTCCGAGAGGATCCGTGATGGGTTCGGATTCGGGTCAACCCGGGAAGGAGTTTCAGTTCAAGAGGGAGAAGTTGGCGTTCTATGACAAGGAATGTTCGAGAATCGCGGAGCATGTGTACTTGGGAAGTGATACGGTGGCGAAGAACCATGAGCTTCTAAGGCAGAATGGGATCACGCACGTGCTTAATTGTGTTGGGTTCGTTTGTCCTGAGTATTTCAAGAGCGATTTTGTGTATAAGACACTCTGGTTGCAGGATAGTCCAACAGAGGACATAACTAGTATTCTGTACGATGTGTTCGATTACTTTGAGGATGTTCGACAACAAGGTGGGCGTGTTCTTGTTCATTGCTGTCAAGGGGTTTCTAGATCAACCTCTTTGGTGATTGCATATATCATGTGGAGGGAGGGACAGAGCTTTGAAGATGCGTTTCAGTATGTGAAGAATGCAAGAGGTGTTACAAATCCAAACATGGGTTTTGCTTGTCAACTCTTGCAGTGTCAGAAAAGGGTACATGCTATGCCTGCAAGTCCAAATTCTCTTGTTAGGATGTATCGGATGGCTCCTCATTCTCCTTATGACCCTCTTCATTTGGTCCCCAAAATGGTTGACCAGCCATGTGCACAAGCACTTGATTCTCGTGGGGCCTTCATTGTCCATGTTCCTTCTGCTATATATGTTTGGATTGGTAAAAATTGTAGTTCGATGATGTCTTGCAATGCACGATCAGCAGCCATTCAGGTCATCCGTTATGAGAAGGCAAAGGGTCCAATTCTTAGCATCCATGAAGATGAAGAGCCACCAGAGTTTTGGGTTGCTCTTTCCAATCAGCAACTGTTATCAGGTAATTGTGACAAGGCAGAGGACAAGAATGATATAGTATTGTTGCCTTCTTCGGATGGGATGGAGATTGATGCTGCAGTTGATATGGGAATTCGTTCAAGGAAAGTTGATGAATATGATTTGGATTTTGGGATTTTCCACAAGGCGCTCGCTGGTGGGTTTGTTCCGCCTTTTTCTTTGTCTAATACTGGATCAGAAACTGAAACTTGCCTTCCTGCTAGAGAAAATGGTTGGGGAAGACTGAGGAAGAAGCTTGCTAGTGGTATCGTGAAAGGATTGTTCACATCCTCCAAATGCTGTGATGCAACCTCATCCAAAGATGAATCGAGTGTGAACATGGAAGAAGAAAATCAACATTCTGTAGTTGACCCTTTATCACCATCATCAAACCATCTTTGTGGTTCACCTGATTCCTTTGAATGTTTTGTAGATAACAGCTCGGACAAGGCTAAAGATTATCCTGAAGTCATGGATCACTTTGTTCCTATTGTTGATTCACCATCACTGCCACCATCTCCTCACCAAACTTCAAATTCTTTTCCTTGTTTTCTTAGCAGCAGCCCGAAATTCAGTTCCAAGTCGCCAACACTTTCACCCTGCAGTTCTGATTATGCCAGTTCCTTTACATTCTCACCTTCATCTACAAATTGGTCTGACTTGTCATTCATGTCTTCTCAGCAGCCATCACCTTCTAGCCTGGAATCAACTGAACCCTTTTATGTTAAAGATGCATCTATCTCAGAAAATTCAGGTTTACTCCACAAAGAAGCTCTCTCTTCATCTTCAGAGCCATTTTTGGCTAATCACACCTTGGTAGGGGCAAACACCAATTTTCCGTGCAAAGGATCTAATCCCTCCATTGCAGAGCGCAGAGGGAGTAATCCACCACCTCGCATGTTGCTAACCTCGGTCAGTGAATCATCCCAACCCCACAAGATCATGGTAAAATCACAGTCATTCTCTTTACCTGACTTAGATGATAATTTGAAGAAGGATGTTAGATGCAATCAATCTGATCTTGAAAACAGTGGAAAATGGCTGACATCAGATGCTGATAACGTAAGTACAGAAGTTGAAAGTGAGATTACTGACAGAGAATCAATGTAGTATGGTACTATGTCATGTAGCATGATTGTTATGCTGAAAGTAGAAAACTTTTAAGAGAAAGTTAACTTGATGACAATGGTTCAGTTTTGTCCTGTATAGCCATAGTTGAGCCCAAATGATCTATTTTTGGAGATGAATATGCACTGTAAGGTTCAGTCTGAATATTGGTGCATGCCTGCAAGGTGTAACTACACTGTCTGAATACTGGTTCAGTCTGAAGTGCATAACAATGATCAAATTTAAGTGAATACAAAGTCTTTTTTTTTTTTTTTTTTTTGGCTATTTTTCTTGTTCTTGTTTATTCAAGCCACCAGCCAGTATGAAAGATATTGCTGTTTTGGGATGGCATGGGAGGGGGAGGTTAGCGATCAACCCATAAAGTGCTAATATAAAATTAGTGCAAAAAGCAGGGAATCCCATAGCAGATATTATAGCTGACATTGTTAGTTATGGATGTTATCATCATCCTTTTTAAGTTACTGTTTCCATTAATAAATTAAAATTAAGTTTCAGAAGCAATATTTCATTTAATTGATGGTGCCAGATGGTTTCTTCTGCTTTCTTGGTTTATATGAATCACATTAACTATTACTGCACGTCTAAGCTATAAAATAGTATTAGCCAACCAAATAAGATGGTTTCTTCTACTTTCTTGGGGGAGGTGGAACTGTCCTCGACACTATATACTCGACTACACTATGCAAAGGATTTGGGTTATGGGAGAGATGCAATTTCTCTCTGGAGCTGTATTGAACAGTTACACTTGTTCATCAGCTAGCTTGTTTGGATCACTAGAGTCAAGAGACTAAAAACTGGGGAATTTCTGTTTGTGGTCTTCACAAACAACATTTCTATGACATAAATTAAGGATAATCACATTTGATTTAGGGTAAAACTGTGATTTATTTCAAGGTAGCAAAATACATGCCTAGGTAAAAAGTATTGGACCTTCGGATTTAAGAAGCCTTTTTCATTAAGTGCATGTTTAGTTTTGCTGAATTATTTTAGAAAACAGCTTTTTTCATCATAAAATTGTTTTTGCATTTTGGCAAGACGTTTGAGTTGTTGGATAGAAGGTTGTTATGAAATTTTTTTGCTAAAGTAAGCTATTCTCTGAAAGCTACAATTTCAAGCTTTTTTATACTTGATTATTTTATAAGAAAGACACGAAAATACTTCTTTATCCTCCGAAAAAATATTATTTTAAATGTTTCATTTTTATTAAGATAATTTGCTACAACAATTTTTGTAAACAATCTAAACGTAACATATTATCTTAAAATCACTTTTTGTTTAGTATTTAAAATATTAACATAAAAAACTAATTTTATTGTCAATTTTAAAGAAAATTGATAATGAATATAATTAATCAATTTTTCACATCTACTCAAAACAAGTACTAATTTTTGCTTTTTTCCACCTGTCCTTATTTATATATATATATATATATATATATATATATATATATATATATATTTCTTTTTTTTTTCATGGTATATATCATGATTTGTTGATCTTAATATTTTCACAGTTGCTTCTACGGCATATCATGGTATTCCCAATCGTACTTGCAAGTTAATTTGTATTCTTCTTCTTTTCTTTTTTTTGATAAATCACAATCAATGGTAAAAAGCACAATCACAAATTTTGTATTACTAAATTTTTTTAGTCCAAATCCATCTAAATTTTTATTTGAAATTTTTATTTTATTACTGAATTTTTTGGGGTCCAGATCCATGTCAAAAATACTAATCACAAACATAATCTGATTATTTTTCTCTATTTTCAACAATTTTAAATTTTAGCCTCAAAACTTGTAAATCTTCAAAACAAACATTAACATTGTTCTAATCATTTGGTAAGAAATGAAATACAAAACAAATACAGAATACACTTCACTGGAAGAAATTTTTTCTAACATAATCCTTAAATTTTAGCCTCAAATCTTCAAAATCTGCAAAACAAAATTTAACATTGTTTTAATTCATTTGGTAAGAAATAAAGTACAATTCGAATACAGAATGCAATTCAGTGGACAAAATGGAAAGTTCATGTATTTTTAACCCTTGGACGAAAAACCCGCTTTTTATTTGAACTTTATCCTAATTTTAATTGCTATTCTTTTATATTTTTACAGCTGTAAAAGCTTGCTAGAAAGTTCTAGCGGTGTTAATACTAGCTATACATTGAAGATCAAGAACTGTACAAAAAAAGAAGCTAATTACAATAGGGTGTGATTTGTCCCGTTTGGTGACTTTGGTCCAACTTCCTTCTTTTTCTTTTTTAGTTCAAGTAAAGCACAAAAGTTTGAACCTATAATGTCTAACTACTTAAGCTCTTACCAATTACCATAACCTACCTTTAGTAGGTTGAACTTTCACATTTGAGAGAAAAGATGACATTACTTAGACTCCACAAACTGCACATGAAGACCAAATGCCTTCTTTGACATTGGTCTGGGAAATGCTGCACGTGTTAAGTAGTCTTTGCCTGCAAGAAACCACATCAACCACATGAGATGAAGATTCTAGTCATTTAGGATGATGCAAAAGAAAATCTCCAAAAGAAGGGGGGAAGGAGGACCAACAACAGCAAAAAAAGGAACTACCAAACAGGCAACTCAGGTCTTGTTTCCATTACAAGTTCGGTAATAATTCAAATAATATTAAACCTTGAATTATTTCATAATATCCAAAGACTGCTACATTTTAGTTTGGCAAAGGAAACAATAATAACAGGGAAATAAATGCTCTATAATGCTATATTGTATGAATGTAGGATATTACCTCAGGAAAACTGTACTGAAATTAGTACCAAAAAACCTCTATGAAAGTGTTCGGAATCAAGACATACCTATGATAAAAAATTGAAAAATCTTCCCGAGTTCCTTTTTTTTATTAATGTTTCAGGAACCATATACTGATATAAATTCCAAAGTGTTTGGTTGAGGTAAATAAATTTAGATAGGAAAGTTTTGAAAAAGTTGTTTGGTTGGACCAAATTTTACCAGAAAAATTGAATGAAATTCCTGAATATTTGTTTGGTTGAAGATAAATATTGATGGGAAAATAACTTTTTGTACCACAAACCAAAATTTAGCTGGTTTTCTCATAGAAATACCAGCGAATCGGAGGGCATCTCAATAGTGTTTTAACCGAATGCTTCAACCAAACGTGGGTTCATGACATTCCCATATGCAGATCGCTAGGAAAATTTTCGGTTCTCCGGAAACAAACACAACCCAAAGAGATTTTGTGAGAAAGGGGAGCCATTAATAACATATCCATAACCTGGAAGCTAATGCCAACTCATTTTGTGTTGACCATATCAGACTCTTTCTCCAGAAATTTCAGGCAATAATCTTGCACATAATTCAAATTTGTAGAGTAATAAATTCAATAATTTGAAGGATTGGAGTGTTTCGTACATGCAAAAGCCTCTCTAAGTAAACACTCCTCTTTGCAAGCATGACTGTTGTGATGAGAGGAGCCATTGCAGCAGTCAAATGCTTAAGTGTGTGACCACTGACAGTATGAAAAGTCAATTTATAAATCACTCTATCGGTAGCATCTTGCAGCATAGCTAGAGGATAAAATCCTGCTTACATTCAAATTGAAATTGAGGGTCATTGAAAGGAGTATCATATCAGAACCGGTATTATATCATACAAAAAAGTACAAACCTGCAGCCCAGAGCCAATACATTGAATGTGTGTACATTGGAGGTAACAAAATAGCCATGAGAGGTATGGCAATGCATGGTACAATTTGGGCCAGAAGATATACACGTATGTCACCAAAGAACCTTCATTCAAAAACGGATGGGTGAGAAAAGGAGCAACTATATTTAAGAGCTAAAGTTCAGAACAATGGATGCTCAGTTACTTCAGGGCTACTAACATCAAATGGAAATACATTCATCTGAGGGGACTACAACATTCAAAAGAACTAGCCTAACTTTTGGCATTATCTTAAGCAATCCATGATGTTGTCACTCACAATGAATCTCATATCTATATGACAACTATGTTTACAGAATTGGCATTTTTTTTATCTGTATGAAGAACAACTTTGTTCACTTACAAAAGAAGGGATTCATCAAACAAGATAGGTAAAAAATTAAATCCAGGTACTCTATCAATGAGTAAGCTTTCAACCAATGGCAGAGGATAAGGAAAAGAACTCATGCAAGTGAAAAAAAAAATGAAGAATTAGGCTTGCCTCCAATAGACACTGCTTATTATACCCGCCATAATTAGAGGTACAATTGAAATTGTTCCCTTCTTCACATCAATCCTTTCAATGATGAGAATCGCCATCATTGCCGCGAAAGTAACAGTCATCTCCATTAACATACAATAATTAAGGAATCAAATTTGTCAAACTAAAAAGGAAAAAGAAAAAGGGGTGGGGGTGAGGGAATAATATTATAGACCCCTACTCCAATAATAATGGCTGAATTCAACTTCCATAGGAGAAACTCACCGGCAACCTGTCCCACACAAGACGATCATCATTTGGCTTGAGATGATAGTATGAAGACCCAAAAGTAACTGAAGCCACACCAACATAAAAGCATGTCCAAGCCCATAGCTCACCTTGAAAACTGTTTGACACAGAATTGTATTGAATTGTGTAATTAACAACAATCACATAAGCTAAAGTAACTGACGGTGACAAAATGAAAATACCTGAGCTTAAAATAGTTCCTACGATGACAAAGCATAAGCCCAATGAGACCAATAACCACGAATGGAAAATTTGATATCACATTAAGCGCATTGGGAATGCCTGAAGAAAAATAACATAGAAAAACCCTTTATTTATTTTTCAAAATTTACCAACAAGATGAGTGTAAAATGAAAGACCCTCCTCCTATACCCAGTTGACACCAATTTCTCTAAAACCATATCTAGATAACCAAGTTCATATTTTATTTATTTATTTTTTTGTAATAAAGTTCATATTTTTAAAGTCACTTAATTTAAGGTTGGAACAAAATGAAAGGGTAAGAAATAGTCCAACAAACAATTACCAAAGAATTCGCGTTTGTCAGCAAAATCATGGTATTTCTGAGGCTGAGGAATGGGTGGAGTTACCATCATCAGTAAAATAAAGCAAGCAACCGCGACTCCCAAACATGCATGCACAGTGCGTTTTCTCATTTTTCTTGCAGAATAGATGGGAATGGGAGGAGAGAGACCGAGTCAGTGAGAGACGGGATGTAAGAGAGATAAAGCCCATAGAAGGCATCAAATAGGAGCCAGGCGGTGACGGTGACGGTGACGGCGAATGTGGCGGTGGGCGGCGTGACGGTGGTGATGGACACCAGTAAATTGCCGAGTTCATGGAAAATATTTTAAATTAGATTAAAAATAGAAGGGGATATTTCGACTACCAAAAGTGTCCACTGTCACTTACTATCTATCAAATTACCATTGGATGGATCAAAGAGAGAATGTTAAAAAGTGTTTGAAGAGAGACAAAATGTTAATCTAACGGTGATTAGATAAGTAGTAAGGTGGTAGTGAAAACTTTTGGTAGTCAAAATATTCTCCATCTTAAAAATATACTCTTGCTCTGTTTATTTTAAATCATAATATCACGTTCCAAAAAAAATCTTATCGGGTAGTCTTACAACTGTTGTTACATTTTTCGTTGGATTAATTCCAGATTAATTCCATATAAAAAAAAGAGAGAGAACAGTAAAGAAAAAAAAAAACATAAAAATAAAAATACTGACACGGAATATGTGATATGACACGACACTCTTACACATTAATTCTAAAAAATGTTAGATTGTGACACGTTATGACATGTCTTGATATTAAATAATATTTTTAATTTATGTAGTATATATTATATTTAATATTCAATAATTTAATAAAAAATAAAACTAAACCTATAATATTCATCAATTTTACAAAGAAACATAAAATATCTCAAATATTTATATTAAACTCAATAAAATGATAATTATAATTCAACGAATTTAATAATTAGAACTAAAAATTCAATGCAACGTAATTTTTGAATTTTTTTTAAATTTTTATAACGTGTGTCGAAGTGTATCGAAGAACGTCAAACACGATATTTGATAGTAAATAACTGTCAGAAACAATGAATACCTCGACATTAAATCGTTACGAACTGTTGATGTGTTCAAATATCTTTCTCTTTGTCGGTTCAGAATTTCGAATCACTAATTTCACCTTGGATTTATTGTTGAATGCTCCTTGTGTGAAAAAATAGCATTGTTCTTCATCCCCTTCGATCTTTAAGTAGAATTTCAATTTTGACTAGCACACTGGTGCACGTGGTTGACTACATGGGCATTGTTTTCTTAATTAATTAGTTACTTTTTTGCTCTCGCTACTTTCCCCAATGTATTCAAAAGCAATTCCTAAATAAATAAAAAATAAAAAAATCCGTACGATGGGAATTATACAATTGTGGATGAGATTCTCTCGTGACATGTGTCAGAATTAAAGTTTTTTAATCAAATATCATTAAAATATGAAAAATTATTTTATCATTTAATATGAGATAAAATAATTTTTCTGAAGATATAAGATCTTATTTATGTTTTTTCTTTTTTCGCTATTCTCTTTTTTATGTGTGTAAAAAAAAGTTGTTTTATCTCATATTAAATAAGAAAAAATTCTCTTAAAATATTTTTTTTTTATCAAAAACAAACAACTGAAAGATTAAAAAAATTGAAGTACAACATTGATTAGTTAAAACTTTTTTGGGCTCGATCCGGATGAAATCTTCAAAAGGACTTGACTCAAGGCCCATTAACAGTTAGTGATTTTATTTTATTTTAACAAAAAATGATTCTTAACAATAACAAGCAAATATTTAACAGTTTGTAAATATGGTCAGAATAATAAGCAAATAATTTTTATTTAATAATATCAATTAATGCATTTTCAACAGTATCATATTTATTTGAACGCTTTTTTAACAGTTATTTATTATTGGATATGCTTTTGACTTGTTTACAAATTTAAAAAATAATTTGTTAATACACTTTGTTTTTCCTTCAATCGAATTAAAATCATTCATTTAATAATCATATACTTTACTGAATGCCGGCAATTAATGAATTATAAATTTAATTAAGGAGAGCAAGGCCAAATGAAAGATAAACTAGTAGTAGTATCAGTATGTATGTTGTGTGGAGGAATGTGCGGCCACGCGCTTGCCCCCGCAATTCTCTAGAGACATTTTTGCGACCAAACCAATCACATGTTGTCATGTTCCATCAACCAAACCACAGCGCATATGTGAAACCGACCCTCTTCAACTCTCGTCAACTTTTACTATTTTTTTCTTTTTTCTTTTTTCTTCCCTCACCACCACCAGATACAAACATAACAACTTTCCATTTCTCTTTTTTTTTTGTAACACAATAACTTTCCATTTCAACTACAAATTTGTGGAACTTGTCACTGTAACTGTTAATTGATCGTTGCTAACATGCATAGAAATAGATATGAATTTCCGAATGATTGCAACAGTAGAGGTAGCAGATACGTTTACTCTCGTGTAATTTTGACTGCGTAGGGTAACGTGAACAAGTGTTATGGGTTAAACAAGGTCGCGACAAAGAAGAATGTGCCACGCTATGGAGAAGGCCACGATTGTATTCAAGTAAATGAGATAAACGTCACTGTTACTATGTTGTTGCTATGTGTTGTGTATATCATGGTTGACAACTCAACAAAACATCATCATTATTTTATTTTCTATGTTTTAGTATTTATAATAATTATTATTTCACTAAAAAGGTTGAGATTTATGGAATATATTTTTCTTATGTTGTAGGAAAAGAATTACCTCATGTTGTAGAAATAAAAGTATAAGTGGGACCCACATGTAAGAGGAGAGAGAAAAAAAAAGTGGTAGGACCCAACCCTTTTTGTGTGTGTAGGAGAGATGTTTATCTCATGTAAAATGAGATAAACATAACCCGAGATTTATTAGTATTTAACTGAGTGGGTGGAAATTGTTGTTTGGTGGAACAGCCGTACCAGCAACCATGAAGAAGTGTTTCTCTCTGTCCAAAGTCTCTTTCTGGGTTCTCTTTGGTCTCTGTTTTCAGAGGTATGTAACCATGGAATCTTCTTCTTATTCTTCTTCTCTTGCTATTGTTTAGTTGATATTGAGTTTCACTTGCATGTTCCTTAGTGCTATATTTTGGACATTGGAAAGATAAGCTTGATTGATAATTCCTTTGTTTTTTTTTGGATAGTTGGAGGGTTGAATCCAAAACCCATAAAGTTTTCTGCTTTTTTATTCACATTGCCATTGCCTGCCACTGGAGGTTGTCAATAGGACTAATTCACGTGGTTTCATTCTTCTGATGAATCTGTGCACAGTAATTAAGTTGAATGTATAGTTGGACTGCTACTGCTATCATCGATTAGTCTAATGATACCCCCCCATTCAACTAGATCTTGCACGTTTTGTATCTGTCGGTTTGGATTTGTAAATTCTTACTCTAAAAAGAATATTTCACTTACATATATGTGCTCAAACTTCAATAATAATATATAAAAAAATAAAAGATTATAGTGCATTTCGAGCACTCTTGTCAGTTTGTCCTCAAATTATATGAACACAATTAGGAATAGAGCCCGCATTTAGGGTGGATTTGCTATTGCTGGGTGATTTTCAAAAGCTGCTTTTCAAAGTTTGGTTTTATGAATTGCTTAAAATATAGTATTTGGTAACTAAATGTCAAAAGCTGTTTACAAAAGTTGCATTAAATATGGTTTATGGTAGTTAAATATAGCTCTGGCCTTTGGCAACTTTTAAAATCAGTAACATAATAATATCACTTTTGACTTAGGTCCTTAAAGTCAAATTCAGGAAACATAAATTTGGTTAACTTTGATTAGTGAATTTGGAGAGGTAGACTAGTAACACAGCATTGATTCCACCATTTATGGTTATTATCGTGAATGTGATTTTGAATTACTATGAACAAGCTTCAATTTAGAACTGAGCGTGTCATTTCAGCGTGTCATCACAAAATCTATCTGAGAGTGACCTAAAGCAAGCTAGCTTCCCACCAAGAGGTTGGAATTCTTATGATTCCTTTTGCTGGACAATTTCTGAAGAAGAATTCTTACAGAATGCTGAACTAGTTTCTCAGCGTCTCAAAGCTCATGGATATGAGGTATATACACTGCAAGGAACTCTGCTTCTGGATGATTTGACTATATTATTATTACTTTGGTTAGATATAGACTAATTCCTTTTTTTCAACCCTCGTAGTTTGTTGTGGTGGATTACCTATGGTATAGGAAGAAAGTCAAGGGTGCATATCCTGATTCTCTTGGATTCGATGTGATTGATGAATGGGGAAGGATGATCCCTGACCCAGGAAGGTGGCCTTCTTCCGAAGGTGGGAAGGGGTTCAGTGAAGTAGCTAATAAAGTGCATAGCTTGGGTTTGAAGTTTGGGATTCATGTTATGAGAGGTATAAGCACACAAGCAGTCAATGCAAACACCCCTATCCTAGATACAACAAAGGTATTGCTTTGCATTTCTGCTATAACCTGATTTTTTTTTCTTTATTTCTATATTAGAAATTGGCAGTAATGAATGATGCCTTCTGTAATACAATTTCTCTGAAAATATACAACAGTACAAGCAGAATATTTGGATATTGTTTTATCTCAATGTAAAGTTTATTGTTGACCTTCGATTTCCTCCTTTTGCGATTTTCTAGGGTAATGCTTATCAAGAATCTGGTCGAGTGTGGCATGCAAAAGACATAGCAATGCCAGAAAGGGCTTGTGCATGGATGCCTCATGGTTTCATGAGCGTAAATACGAAGTTGGGAGCTGGGAAAGCCTTTTTGAGATCCCTTTATGAGCAGTATGCTGCGTGGGGTGTTGATTTTGGTACTAGGACTACTAATTTATAATCTGATTATTATGCAATTTCACAACCTGTATCATGTCACAGACAACAATCATAATGATTTTAAATAATTCATTGCACTATCTTCACTTTAGTTTGCATAAGTGAAGCAGATATATATCATCAAGGTAATTCTTAAGACTTAGCAAGATAAATTTGGTATTTTAGTGGTCTTATAGACATCAAGTTATGTTCATATATCTTGGAGCCTCTATTTCCACAAAAGTAAAGATGAAATTAACTAGCTCACTTCATGTAAACTTAGTCGACTAGAGATTCCTTTTTCATCTGTTCTAAACTTCTAAAATAAGCAAGCCTGCAAAGCATTGATTGATTATTCATTCATGTGTTAATATAGGGTTTACATGGGGACAAAAAAAAGAAAAAGAAATACAAATTACTTAGGGAACTCTTAGATGAGGACTTGCATTAGCATATATGAAAATATAAGCAGTTCTGCCTATGCTTTGGCAGTAATTTTGATAGATTATCTGCCTTCATTGCAGTGAAACATGATTGTGTTTTTGGCGATGACTTGGATTTAAATGAAATAACCTATGTATCAGAGGTAATCTGCAATTTCCTCTCCCTCTCTTCCCTACCTCTCATTTTCATATCAATACTGATATCGGTTATATTTTGGCAAACTTATTATATGACATGTCATGCCAGATTCTCAGCAACCTAAATCGCCCCATTGTGTATTCTCTGTCTCCTGGAACCAGTGTGACACCAGCCATGGCCAAGGATGTCAGTGGACTAGTCAACATGTATCGTATAACAGGAGATGACTGGGACATTTGGGCTGATGTCAAGGCTCATTTTGATGTAACAAGGTGATTAAGTTGTTTATATTTCTGTTCAAGATATTAGTCTTCATAGTATGTTGCAATCATGCTGCTTCTCTGTCTATGTTCTGTTATTCCATCACCATATTACATAACTTTGTTCATTTATTTCTGAATCAGGGATTTTGCTACAGCTAATATGATAGGAGGAAAAGGTTTAAGGGGGAATTCCTGGCCTGATTTGGACATGCTACCATTTGGATGGCTAACTGATCAAGGTAATGAGACTGGGCTGCTATTTTTTATTTGTCCAGTGTGAATATCATGACCCTTATACGGTGAATGGGTCGGTGATTAGTATGTATTTATAGATCCACTTACATCATTTATTCATCATTCATTTGTGTGAACTAGAATCTCCTGGCAGTATGAAGCATTCTCTGCAGATATATTTACTCTATAAACATGAGGATACTATTTGTGCACTGATTTTTTTTCATTAGAAAACTCAAAAAGATGTTTACAATCTCATATCCTAGATAATTGGTATGAACTTTCTGAATTTAAGACTTACAGGAATGTGGATTACATAACTACTTTTTTCCCCCTATTTTATTTGTAGGTTCAAATGAAGGTCCACACAGGGATACTAAACTCAGTCTAGAAGAGAAAAGGACACAGGTATTGATAAAAAGCATGACTGAGTTGCTTTCCTAAATATTCATGTACATATTTTGATGTGTGTACATGCATTATAATACACTCCGAGTGAATGTATTCTTATAATCTTATCTCACAGATAACTTTGTGGTCATTGGCAAAGTCTCCCCTTATGTATGGTGGGGATGTGCGGAAGATTGATCCTACCACATATGAACTTATCACGAATCCAACTCTGCTAGAGATTAATTACTTCAGCTCAAATAATATGGAGGCATGTGAGCCATCTAACTCTTCATGTTTGGGGATAATAGGCATGTGAGGAATATGAACTTATCACAAATTATATCACTTTTAATGCAATGACAGTTTCCTTATGTCACAAGCTCAAAGAACTTGGAACGTGATCATCACCATCCTGGAGGAAAAATGAGAAGATCTAAGAAAGGAAAGAAAACATCATATACTCATTCATTAGGTCTCACTGGCTGCACTGAATCAAAGGCAAGTGGTTGGTCTATTGAAAGTGTAAACCAAGATCTTGAAAGAATCTGTTGGAAAAGGAGTTTAAAAAACATGCATCAGGCCCCTTTCTGTGTACACAAGAGAGAACTCCTGTTCAGATTGTAATCGTGCTTTATCTTTCTCCTTCTCTTTTCTATTTATCTAACTTTTATTTGATTATTTGTGTTGTTATTAACAACAGAAATTGTTATATTGATATTGTTACAGAGATGGGGATAATATGTATCAAGAGGACTACCGAGGGAAACATCATTTAGTTGAAACCAACACAATGAAATTTTGCTTGGATGCTTCTCCAAAACGAAAGGTTACTTCTAAAGAGTTCAAGAGAGGTACATTTTCTCCTTGCAGATGGGATTCAAATCAGGTATGTTGTATGTAGTTCATATTTTACGTACAAGAGTAACACGTGGCTCTTAATCTTTAGAGTAGAATCCTGCGTATGATACATTGAAGCTTCTTGTGAGCAGTTAGCCAGTACGTAATGTTTGCAGTTTGTCTATAGGGTAGATAAAGAAAAATAATTCAGTGATCAATCTTGTCTCTGTGCTATTTCTATTTTTACCTCTATCTACATATCATATATATGCCTTGGCCAGTTTGTATTCTATTGATATTTGTGTATTCTATTGGAAGCTGATCTATCCAGTCTTAAACAGATGTGGGAGCTGAACTCCAATGGGACCCTTGTAAATAGTTACTCCGGCCTTTGTGCAACAGTAGAGTATGCCAAAGGTGAAATTTTGAAAATATGTACAACTTTTTAGTACTAGTTTCCTGAGGTTGTATATTTCTTCTTCTTCCTTGTATTTATTATTCATAATGCAAGTTTGTCACTCATGCAGCTGATATTAATTCTGGTGGGATTCGCTCTTGGATTGCAACGGGAAGAAAAGGTCTGTTTCTACTTTCTACCAAACACTTAAATGTCAAGAATTTTCTTCTTTGCAACTCCAAAATATCGAAACAGAAAACGGTTAATCATAGTAGTATTTATGCAGTGAAATATACATATATATATATATTTATATATAATGTCCTATTTAGGGGAATGTGCACACAAGAAAGAATTATTTGAAGTTATTATTTTCTGACTCCTAATATTATATGTGTATTTAGGAAAACTCTATGTTGCTTTCTTCAATCTAAGTGAACAGAAGACGATGATATCTACAAAGACATCATATCTGGGTAAGATTCTTCCTGGCGGACGCTTCAGTTCATGTAAGGGCAAGGAAGTGTGGAGTGGAAAGGACATAACAACGCAGGAGACATTAACAATGGAAGTGGAAATTCATGGATGTGCACTGTTTGTTCTTCATTGCTATTAATCTGGCTTCCAATTTTTTTAATGAAGAAAAAAGTAGCATTTCATTGCCGAGCCTTTATTTTTTCTATTTAATCACGTGACTGTTGGACATGATGGTTACTTTGAAATAACACATTTGTTAAATAAAATCATGGCCTAATAATAGTATGTACCTTTCGAGAGGTGTTGCTGTAAAAAGATAGCACTAGCAGGTAATTTTGGCAACTGGCATGCCTTTGTTTCATAGTTCATAGTGCTTCACAGACACCTGTTCCCATGAATAATGTATGATGACATAAAAGGGCAAGATAGAAGACACTACTAAATCCGAAATTATCTGTTAGTGGCTGGCTGTCAACTAATTCGTTCTCATGTCTGTTCTAAGTGGTGGATTAATTGTTAGTCATAAGAGTTATTTATAATTTATTCTTATTCTAAATTTTTGAACAATTCATGTTTGATTTACACAATTGAAATTATAATGGTCCTGGACTCCTGGTAGGCCAGGCAAGACCTTTTATTTTTTTTTAAATGCAAAATTGAACTTATAATTTAGCCTCTATTAAATTAATAGGTTAGATCAAATTCAAATTTACGGGGTGTTTGGTAGGATGGAAAAAAAAAATTGCCCGGAAAAATGGAATGAGGAAAATAATTTAGCCATATTTGATAGGAGTAAAGTAAAAAAGTGGGTGGCAATTTTTTTTCGGTGAGAGACATCTTTTGCACATGATATCATTACGAAATATTGTTATCCAAAATATGATAAAATAATTTGCCCACAGTATAGGAACGTCAACACACTTTTTCTTTACCGTCAATAAATTTTGACATATCAAACATTTTTTTTTATCTTACCTGACAATAAATTTTTTCCACCATATTCTCGGCAATTTCCTAATAAAAAAAAATATCTTCTTTTCCAAACTCGTATTAACTCAATTCTATATACTATAGAATTAAAGCTAAAACCTGCCCAACCTATATACTATAGAATTAAACCATAAAATTAATTTTTACTTACAACTTAACCCCTAAATTTAGTTAATTCCTGAATTTGCAAAAGTCGTTTTAACTCAATTCTACTCAAAAAATAAAGTGAAAAAAGGAGTTTGTACTAGTTTTATAATTTTAAAAAGGAGTTTGTGTCTCAACAATCAACATGAAATAATTGTTCTCCCTTTTAAAAATTTACTAGATTGTACTAGTTTTTGGGCTTTGGCCCTACTGTCTAAAAAAAAACAATTTTAACTCCTACACATAATTTTATTCAGACACTAATTATAAAGTATAAAATAATTTTTTGGACTAAATTGATAGTTTATTCTAATTTTTGTTAATTGATCACGAATAAAAAAAGTTTAAGTTTTCTTATGTTGTAGGATTGTAGGAGAGAAAAAAAGTAGAGAGAAATTAAATATGGATCCCATATTTTATATTAGAAAAGAAAAAAAAATTAATTGACACAGAAAATGAATTAGTGTAGAAAAATGATGTACTCTTATGTAACATAAGAGTATTATTTTCCATAAAAAAATGCTATATGCACATATATGACACGAATTTAAGATTTACAAATGTTATAATATCTGAATGGACTAAATGGACTTTTCACTTTTGCGCAGCATTAGGGTTCCAAAATCTCATCATACATAAACGAATCGTACAAGTGAAAGTGCCGTCACTGCAATTTTGCTCTCTGCGAGGCTTCAATTTCCAATTAGGGTTTCGCTTTGGGCACAGAGAAGCCATGGGAGTGTTCACATTCGTCCTCCGCAGCTCCGGTGGCGAATGGACCGCAAAGCAATTCTCCGGCGACATCGAGGCCTCTGCTGACTCCTCCTTCGAGCTCCAACGGAAGCTCGTTCAAGCCGCTCTCGCCGTTGACTCCTTCGGTTCCGTGCAGTCTTCTTACTCTACTGTGTCTCCTTCTTCTGCTGTCTTCCAGGTACACCTTTCTACATCCCTGATGATTGTGGTTTCTTGATCGGGAATGAAAGTTTTGGGTTTATATTTGTATTTCGTTCATATTGGTTTTTTTCCTTTTCAAGTTTTTGTGTATGAAATTTCGTTCTATGGTTTTTTCTATTGTGTCTCATTGTATTATTTTGTATTCTATAGAATATTATAATTCGTATTCAATGTCATTTTTGAAATGTTGCTTCTTTAGTTTAGGTTTTCGTTATATTATTTTTCGTTTACAAATGTTCTGAATCTGATAAAGTGGCCAGTTGGGTCTATGTCATTTGTTAGATTATGCTGAGGAGTTTAACAGTTTGGCTTTATTATTTTCTTTTTCTTTTTCTTTTTCGTTGTGTGTTTTTGGTTTTTTATTCAGATGGTTTGGAGAATATATGTTGACTAGAACAGAATTATGGGTTTTAGTGCTAAGACTTGTAAAGCTTGATCGTTCTTAATTACCTATTACTTTAAATTTTTGAGTGTTAGTGTTATATATATTTGTGCACTCATGCTTGTTGAATACTTGTGTTCTTGGTGATGGATTTCATTTCTGCCCTGGTGGCTTAATTCTTGGATTCAACCACTATATGGATTACTAATCAGGTTATTGCTTCTGTTGAATGTTTTGTTCAGGTGATTGTGGGTGGTGCAGTGTTCGTTGGAGGTGGTGTTGGTGCTGCAGCTGCTCCCGCAGGAGGTGCAGCCCCGGCTGCGGATGCTGCCCCGGCTCCTGAGAAAAAGGAAGAAAAGGTTGAGGAAGAGGAGGAGGATGATGATATGGGATTGTCACTCTTTGATTAGGGTCTTCTGGCTTCTCTTGAATTTTGATGTAAAAGGGCTTTAGTCTTTAATCTTATAAATTGTATTTGTGCATCAGTTTGCACCATTTATTGGTGCCCTTCGTCCGATAGAGTTTTTTGGCTGCGACCTCAATGGTTTTGTATCGTGTTTTGCTTGTTTCTTTTTCTTTTCTTTTCTTTTTTCCAAAAAAAAAATGTCTGCCTCTGTTTTGTTATCACTTATCACTGCTCAATAGAATTTCCTTCAACGGTAGTATCGTTTTTTTTTCCATCAATATGATTTTCTTAACATTCCTTATGTTTATCTTCATTTGCTGAATGACAAATGTATTTGCTTGACATAATTGGGTCAAGCCAAATATTGGATGACTCTGTGTAAAGGATAAAATGAATGTGTAAGCAATAGCATGTTATGTATTGAAAAAAATTTATTTAAGGGAAAATTATAAGCATAAATGAACTTTTAGGAATAAAATATTAACTTGAAAAGGTGCACATTCTTATGAATATTGTTATTATAATTTCGGCTTCTTGTGAATTTTTTATGTGCTATCATATTTACCATTGAAATATAATTAAATTTCTTTCGGGCATGTTATATTCGTGGGACAGGATATACTTACCACCAAAAAAGTTTACAACTAATCTAATCACCATTGTTTTTCGTCAATCTAATGGTTATAATTTATTGAAAATTAATAATTAATTAATAAATGCGATTCAATAAATTATAACCGTTAGATTGACGGAAATCAACGGTGATTAAATTGGTTGTAAAGGTGGTAAATTTTTTTGGTGGTAAGTATATTTTTTCCTTATATTTACAACCAAAAAAGTTTAACACCTTTAAAATCAACTTAATCACCGCTGATTTTCATCAATCTAATGGTTATAATTTATTGAGAATTAATAATTAATTAATAAATACGATCTAATAATTTTCAATAAATTATAACCGTTAGATTGACGGAAATCAACGATGATTAGGTTAACTGTAAAAAATTTTTTGGTGGTATGTATATCTTTCTCCATTTTTTAATACGTAAATATTATGAAAAACAATAATGAATAATTAGTCTAATTAATGGAAATATCTACTGGTAACGGTTTAATTAACTTATAACACTCAAACTTTATTACCTTTTACTTATTAAAAAAAAATACTATTCCAGTCAATAAAAGAATTCAATCTTTATCAAAAAATATTAAATTCGAATATAAATTATTCTCATCTAATATAAAGTAAAAAATTTATTTATTCTGTTATATTATATTTATTCCGTTATATTAACTTACTTTACATATAAGAAAGCCTAATTTTTATTAACATATATTCCTTTTTTTATCTCTCTTACTTTTTGATCCAGGAGATCATCATGTATACGATCTTGGTTGCTACGAGCCCGGCACACAACTCTCTTTCTAAATATAGAATGAAAAATGATGGAAGGGAAACATGAGAAAAAGAGAAGGATATAAATAAGATAAAATTTTATCCAAAATAACAAAGGATCACAAAATAGTGATATAAGCCTGGATCACTATAAAAAAATCCCAGGTATACATCAATTGCACATACATCTCCCATTTAGAAATTGACACGTGGACAAAAAAATATTTTGTTCTATCACCATATGGAAATTACAGGTAATGCTTCATTTTCATTGATTGGTCGCACGAAATACAGGGCACAATGGATGTACAATAGATATTTCCCTGATCATAAAGAAAGTCATCTTAAAAAAAAAAAAGAATTTAGTCAGCAAAAATTGCCTTGTATTTCAGTCGTATTACTTCTTTAACTTTTCTACAAACTGATCTAAAGCCACCTATACAACTATACAAGGATCAACTAAAATAATTTGTTGCCCTGCAGGCTGCAGGCAATTTGTATGGGCATCCAAAGCTATTCATTCTCTTATTATAAATATAAGTGTCTTAAATATAAAGTACACATCTTCTTTTATATGAATAAATCTATTTACATAAAATCTGTTTTGAGAATTAGAGTATCTTGCAAGTATACTCTCCATCTTATTTCAGTGAAAATTCTTTGATTAAACTTGCATCAAATTACTTATAAAGGAAGATTATCATGATCAGCTTTGATAAAAATATTTTTGATCACTTCCCTTTCACATTCTTTCTTCACATGATATTTGAAATTTGGATCATCTATACATACCTGTAATTACTAATTAAAAGTGAACGCTAGTGTTGGAACTTGGAAGGTTCGTCAAGATTCCAACTTAATTAGTTGTGTTTATGATGAACCTATACAGAAATTAAAAAAGTACAAATAAAATCAACCATAAAAATTATAAGAAAATTATATAGTAAATTATAGACTAGTTAAAATTATTGTCTTCGCGTTTTGAGTTAATTTTTTAAAAATATATTCATCATTTTAAAATAACTAAATCCGATATTTTGTAGGCTTTATGTTATCATTAAATCATTTCTAAATAACTATTATAATTATATACCTCAACTCTAATGTTATTCTTATTTTAAAACAAGCCAACTCCGGCTATAAAAAAAAAAAACAAGCCAACTCCTTTCTATCACTACATCATAAACAATACCACCGCGTAAGATATCATTAATGGTATTAAAATAAGGGTAAAGGATTTTTTTTCGGTAAATAGAGATAAATTATTTCCAATTAACTCAAAATGATATCTTACAAAATTATATTAGTCTTTATTATTATAATTTTTAATCTTACAATTCGAAATCAACATAAGTTTGGACTCATTATAGATAAAATTATCTCTGGAAAATTTCTTTTTCCTTAAAATAAAAGTTGAACGTCCTTACTTGAAGAGTCTTCGCAACCGCTGATAAGTCAATTGAGTAATAGCAAAGTGGGAAATCATAGATTATGATGTATACTAATCATTTGCTAATTAGAGTATCAAATAAAGATGGGAAAAAGTTATGACACTAATCATCGTTTTCAAGATCAAAACCTATACTTCGTCCATGTTGCATTTTCTTACTAATTTTGGAAATTACTAACTTATTGACTATTTTCTACTATACATTTTCGTGGTTGCTGAAAGCTGTCGCCCAGAAGTTAAACAGAGGTTGGAGTTTTTATTTATTTTTTATATCGAAGGAAATATTTTTTGGGTGGATAAATATTTAAGAGTTGTGTTTGACTTTGCTGGCTCAAATTTCAAGTACAAATCCTTGTGCTTTATGATGAGAAAAAAAGACTTACGAAAAAGTATGTCAGCATAAATAATTAGAAAATAGTGTGGTATTTTCATTGACATATAATTATGCTATTCACCTTAATGGAGGTAGCTAATTTCTCATAAAAATCATAGACTTAAAATGTGAAAAAAAAAAAAACTAACAAATCAAATTTGATGTTCCATTTTAAAACATGTTTAATTTTAAAAATAAGGGTTAATATGAGAAACATTAACCCTTAAAAATAATAAATCCACATGTTCTTTAAAATACTAGTTACATATTACAGAATTATCATATGATAGTTAAATGATTTTTAACAGATCCTCGCGGCAGTACTTATTTTAGCATTAGGTGACATCAATAGTTAGATGTTAAATTTATTTTGACAAGAGGCACAAGATAGGGATCATATCCCAACAGAAAGGGAGTTAAATCCTAATGTAGTTGAGGGAGCTCAAAAGGCCCAAGCCTAAGAAGGTAATCCTATAAATAAGAGCCTAAGGACCCCAGGTAAACACGTTTTTAACCTACTTACTAATACTACCCACACTGTGCACACACACACCCCTTGGCTATAAGCCTATTGCTTGTGCGCAGTGATTGGGACCTCGGCTACAAGCCTAGTATACAGTTGGTATACATTATCTCTTAGCGCATACCATACGGTATAGCAACACGGTCTATCCAGGACCTAACATTGGCGCCGTCTGTGGGAACGATAAATTTCGACTCCCATTCCACGATGACGAACACTCGTTCGACGTCTAGCAACGCCCAAATGCCGCCGCATCAATCTCAGCCTCAACCTTATGGCATGCCTCAACACCAATCTGCATTGGAACAGCTCCAATCGGACGCAAACCCGGTGTTGGTAGAGGTACAGGTCGGCGAGGTCGACACTAAGGGACCGACTCTCAAACCCCAGATCAGTACGACGACGGTTATAGCTCGTCCGCCTCCACACAATGAGCCACCGAACGTGACCATGATGGCCATGGGTGCAATCCTTCAAAGATTACAAGAGATGGAAAACAGATTCCTGACTCAGCAACGAATGGATGCCCAAAGGATGGCGACATTTGAGGCCGAGCTGAGAAATCTGAACGCGGAAGGCCGGCCTAGGGTAGTCGGACAGGCCGCAACCTCCGGACCTCAACAGCAAAATGCTGAAGGCGTCCAACATCAAAATGCAGAAGGCATCCAATATCGGAACGCCGAAGACCTCCGACGTCAAAACGCTGAAGGCCGACCTGGAAGGAACGGCCACGCTGTTGATGATGACCCGCAACGTCAGAACGCGGCTACAGTCGAAGACCACCGTCATCAAAACGCTGAAGGCCGATCTGGTAGGAACGGCCACGCTGTTAATGATGGCCCGCAACGTCAGAACGCGGCTACAGTCGAAGGAAACGCGCAGAATATGCAGAACCCTTACCTCGGCAACAACCGGAATGGTGGAGGTCCGAACAACAACCAGGACGAAAATTATCTGGATGATGAAGAGGCTAATGATAGCCCATTCACTGGGAGGCTCATGAACTACAGGTCGGCGAGGTCGACACTCAGGGACCGACTCTCAGACCCCGGATCAGTACGACAGCGGCTATAGCTCGTCCGCCTCCACACAATAAGCCACTGAACGTGACCACGATGGCCATGGGTGCAATCCTTCAAAGATTACAAGAGATGGAAAATAGATTCCTGAGTCAGCAACGAATGGATGCCCAAAGGATGGCGACATTTGAGGCCGAGCTGAGAAATCTGAACGCGGAAGGCCGACCTTGGGTAGCCGGACAGGCCGCAACCTCCGGACCTCAACAGCAAAATGTTGAAGGCGTCCAACATCAAAATGTTGAAGGCATCCAACATCGGAACGCCGAAGACCTCCGACGTCAAAACGCTGAAGGCCGATCTGGTAGGAACGGCCACGCTGTTAATGATGGCCCGCAACGTCAGAACGCGGCTACAGTCGAAGGAAACGCGCAGAATATGCAGAACCCTTACCTCGGCAACAACCGGAATGGTGGAGGTCCGAACGACAACCAGGACGAAAATTATCTGGATGATGAAGAGGCTAATGATAGCCCATTCACTGGGAGGCTCATGAACTTGGCCATACCGCCGAGATTCAAGAGCATCAGGATACCTCTGTACGACTGAAGTCAGAACCCAGAAGCCCATTTAGAGGCTTTCAAAACCGAGATGTTGTTCAACGGGATCACTGGACCTATTAAGGCCAGGATCTTCGCGACGACATTGACTGATCAGGCGATGACCAGGATAACCAGGCTCCCTAGGAACTCAATCGATTTGTTTGAGGACCTAGCTCGGACTTTCCGACTTAACTTTGCAACAAGCAAGGTGCACCCGATGCCAGCCTATGCTTTGGGAAGAATCCGGCAGAAGGAGAACGAATCACTGAGGAAGTACCTTGATCGATTCAAGGATGCCGCCTTCAAGGTCCGGGGCTTAACTGAAGCAGTTCACCTCCACTTAATCATTTCAGGATTAGATGGCGACTCCCCACTGGCGAGGTCTATCTATAAGAACCCAGTGAACGATCTGGAAGAGTTCCTACAAAGGTCGGATAAATACATTGACGTGGAAGACATGCAGAAGGTCTACGTCGAAACTCGAGGACGAAGCCCGCCTCGTCGGAGCCCGAGTAAGAAAAACAACAAAGACAGGGACCAGAAGGGATCCAAAAAAGCAAAGGACACTCGTGATAAGAGGTCAGAAGATCGATCACCAAGGAGGAAGTATGACGATTATACACCTTTGAACGTGTCCAGATCCAGGATATGGAAAGAGGTGGCTCAGACCGAGATGAATGTCGAGAGACCTCGACCCCTCAAAACCAAGTTCGGGTTAGACAAGAACAAATACTGCGCCTTCCACGATCAAAACGGTCACTTTACGGATGACTGCTGGGACCTCCGAGATGCAATTGAAAAGCACGTCAGATAGGGGAAATTGAAGCAGTATACCATCCGAACACAGGACAAGAAAAATAATAAGCGAAAGCAAAGAAGTCGGAGCCGAATTCGAAGCCCAAAGAGAGAGGATATAAAGAATCAAAGACACGACCGATCTGCCAAAGGAAAAGAGGTCGTCGACAAGGATGAGGCTTTTCCCGAAGCCAAATTCGAATGCAATGTCATAAGTGGAGCTCTAGGTGGGGGAGGAGACTCGGCCAACGCCAGAAGAAAGTACCTGAAAGAAGTCGTGTCCGTAAGAGACATGCCGACCTTCAAAGGGAAAGCCAGCAAACCTTCCCCCCCAAGACTGTTTTTTACTCAGGAAGAACTAGCAATGGTCGTACCTGGACACACTAACGGATTGGTGATCACTGGAGTGTTAGTCAACTGCCGAGTAAAGAGAATCTTTATTGACCACGCAAGCTCAGCAGACATAATTCTCTGGGACACTTTCCAGAGGATGAACCTGGATGAGAAGGATCTGAAACCATGTGTCACCGAGCTGGTCGGGTTCAACGGAGCGGCGTCCCCTCCAAAAGGCTACATCAACCTAAATTGACCTTAGGTACGAAGGATTCGTTCCGAGCTGGAAGGGTTCGTTTTGTCGTAGTGGACACCTCATCGTCCTACAACGTGATCATTGGCCGGCCTACAATCCATGAATGGGATATGCTGATCTCCACCAAACATTAAGCACTGAAAATGCCTGGGATGAACAACGAGATTGTCACCATAAGAGGTGATCAAGAAGAATCAAGAAAGTGTTATTATGAGACCCTGCGAGTCCATCAAGGAGGCCCATCATCTGCTCCCCGGCTTAAGGATAGAGGAGCCATGGACCAGTCCTTAAGGGCATCAGGAAGCGAGATAAACTTGATTGAACTGGATATGTGAGAGGAGCTCCTAGCACCTCGTCCAGAACCCTAAGGGGAGCTGGATGACGTCGAGATCCGAAAAGACGACGAAGGACGTACCAAGGTGGGGAAGACCCTAGAGGTCGAGTTCAAAAAAGAACTCATTTCCTTGTTAAAGGAGAATTCCGATGTATTTGCATGGAAGGCCTCAGAAATCCCAGGAATAGACCCAACTTTCTGTTGTCACAAGCTCTCCATGTACCCTGGATCGCAGCCAGTGTCCCAAAAGAAAAGGAAGATAGGATCTGACCGACGTCAAGCTTTAAGTGAACACGTCGACGAGCTGCTAGAAGCCGGATTCATCAAGGAGATACAGTACACCACGTGGCTCTCTAACATGGTGATGGTAAAGAAACCAAGTGGAAAGTGGAGGATCTGTGTGGATTACACCGACCTCAATAAGGTCTGCCCAAAAGACTCGTACCCAATGCCAAGAATTGACCAGCTACTTGACAATTCGTCAGGATTTCAGCTGCTATCATTTATGGACGCACACTCTGGATACAATCAAATCCCATTGCATCCAGACGACCACGAAAAAACTGCCTTCATCTCGAAAAAGGGAAATTTTTGCTACAACGTTATGCCTTTTGGCCTAAAAAATGCAGAGGCGACCTATCAAAGGATGATGAACCGCGTGTTCCAAGCGCAAATCGAAAGAAACTTGGAGGTATACATCGACGACATGATCTTCAAGTCAATGCAAACATCGGCACATATCGCCAACCTCAGGGAGACTTTTGAGCAGCTAAGAGCTCGCAAGATCAGGCTGAACCCGGCCAAATGTGCTTTTGGGGTACCAGCTGGAAAATTCCTGGGCTTCATGCTTACCAACCGAGGAATAGAAGTGAACCCGACAAATGCAAGGCCGTCCTTGAGATGAAACAGCCTGAAAGCAAAAAAGAAATTCAACAGCTCACAGGTCGCCTTGCGACCCTGACCAGATTTCTGCCTAGATCGGCAGAGATGGCTTTGCCTTTCTTCAAGCTCCTCAAAAAAGAAGCAGAGTTCGAATGGGGGGAAGAATGCAAAAAGGAGTTCGAAAATATTAAGAATTGCCTAGCCACCCCCCGGTGCTGTCAAAACCAGAGCCCGGAGAAACGTTGATCTTGTACATATCAGTAGGGGAATAGGCCATCAGTGCCGCTCTGGTACGGGAGACCGACAAGTCACAACAGTCGATCTACTTTGTAGGTCGGACATTGCAAGGACCAGAACTTCGTTACCAGAAGCTCGAAAAGGTCGCATTCGCCCTGCTTACCACGACAAGGAGGCTCCGACCTTATTTTCAAGGTCACCAAATCATCGTGCGAACAAATCAGCCCATCAGGCAAGTACTTCACAAGCCGGACCTAGCAAGAAGGATGATCAACTAGGTCGTCGAGCTTTCCGAGTTCGACATATCGTATGAACCTCGACAGGCAATTAAGTCGCAAGCTTTGGTAGACTTCATCCTGGAGCTAACCCCACCCAATGAAAAGGGAGAAGGGAATGAAGGTCTCTGGACAATTTATGTCGACGGATCCTCGAACTCTATGGGGAGCGGAGCCGGGGTGATCGTTGAAAGCCCGGAAGGAGTGTCCATTGAACACTCTCTCCACTTAGCGTTTTTGACCTCGAACAACCAAGCTGAATACGAGGCATTCATTGCCAGGATCGTGCAGGCAAAGGAGCACGGAGCAAGGAAGATAAAAATAATGAGTGATTCACAGCTGGTTACTTCACAAGTTGAAGGAAAATACCAAGCCAAGGTCCTCTCATGATGAAGTACCTCCAACAGGTCAGGGTGCTATTAGCTGAGTTTGACAAGGTGATAATTCAGTACATACCTCAGAATGAGAATAATAGGGCCGACATCCTATCCAAACTCGCCAGCTCGAAAGGCTCAGGAAACCATCGCACTGTAATACAACAGAGCATCCTGGAGCCGACCTGCGTTATGGTGATAACCGATACTGATGATTGGAGGAGGCCAATTGCGGCCTACCTGGAAAAAGGAATCCTGCAAGACGAAACGCAAGAAGCCAAAAAACTTGTGAGGAACTCGACCTGCTTCACCATAGTAGAGGGGCAACTCTACAAAAAGGGCTTCTATACACCCATGTTGAAATGCCTCAATAAGAATGAAGTGGAGTATGTGCTGGCCGAGATACATGAGGGCATAAATGGACACCACATGGGAGGAAAAGCTTTAGCCAGAAAAGCACTAAGGGCATGATACTACTGGCCCACCATGGAGGCAGATGCGAAGGACCACGTCAAAAGGTGCGAACAATGTCAGAAGCACGCGTTGATCCTTCGCGCACCCCCCGAAGAGCTGCAAACTATCACGGCACCATGGCCGTTCTTCAAATGGGGAATGGACCTACTAGGACCTTTTACTGCGGCTGAAGGACAACTCAAGTGGTTGATAGTGGCTGTTGACTACTTCACCAAGTGGGTCGAGGTTGAACCCCTCACCACCATTACCTCGGCAAGGATACGGAGATTCTTTGAAAGAAACCTGATTAGCCAATTTGGCCTTCCTGCTGAGATCATCACGGACAACGAAACACAGTTTACTAATAAAAAGTTCCAAGAATTAATGACCGACTTAAAAATCACACATTAGTTTGCATCAGTTGAACACCCTCAGACTAACGGACAAGCCGAGTCTGCCAACAAGGTGATCATCAACGGGCTAAAGAAAAGGCTCTTTGAGGCCAAAGGAAATTGGGTGCAGCAACTACACCTCGTCTTGTGGGGTTACAGGACGAGCGCCCAATCTGCCACAGAAGAAACCCCCTTCAAACTGACATATGGGTGCGAGGCCATGATCCCGGTTGAGATCGACGAACCATCCTGGAGGAGGGTACAAAGGTTGCAAGGAACTGAAGGTCAAAACAAGGAGGCACTCCTTGTGGAACTCGACCTGCTGGATGAATGCAGGGAGAATGCCAGATACAAGAATATGCTGGCGAAGCATCTAGTAACTGCCATATTCAATAAAAAGGTCAGACCTCGATCATTCCAGGTCGGCGACTTAGTCTTAAGGAGAGCACACATTGACAACAAGAATGCTAGAGATGGGAAGCTCGCCACAAACTGGGAAGACCCCTATAAGATCAAGGATAATCTGGGAAAGGGAGACTACACCTTGGAAACTATCTCCAAGAAACCAGTAAAGAGGACTTGGAATGCGGACAAGCTGAAGGTCTACTATAGTTAGGCTTCAGGTTCGACGTTCGAGACAATAAGACGAGCTCTTAAGCTCGGTCAATAGTTAGATTTACTTCTACGCAAATAAGACGAGCTATTAAGCTCAGTCAGTAGGTAGATTTATTTCAAAGCAAATAAAACGAGCTTCTAAGCTCGACCCTTGTAAATAGTTTTCGTTGAAATGCAAATGAAATGAACAGTTACATCCGTTCTAACATCAGTGCACATCAATATCTAAACAAGTAATTAAAGCCTTAAGAGCTTTACGATCGCACAAAGGAGTGAAATTTTTTTTGAAGAACAAAACATAATCCTAGATCGAACAACCAAAAATCTCAACGAATCGCAAGTCAGGTAAATAAGATCGAAAGCGAACCTCGGACATGAAAAGTAAACGAGAAACAAAGCAACGATCTCAAGGAAAACATAAGTCTAAAAAGCCGACCCAAAGCGGCAGTTATGTTCAGACAAAATAAAAGAGGGGCTCAAAGGCCCCATAATCAAAATTACATATTAAGGTCGGCATTCCGATCCCTTCATTCAGCAGCATGAGGCGAAGTGGCGTGATACTCGGTCTCGACCTCTCCCTCAACAGTAGATCCGGAGTCAGGAGTCCCAGGAACAATGATGCCATCTTTGACCTCATATGCCACGTCCATACCATCAACAACAAGGCCGGGATTCAGAACTTGGGCCTAAGCAATAGCGTTGTCAAAAGTTTGGATGACGGCCCTGGCCACCACGGCTCTGGCCTCCTCGAAGTCGGTTTGCAGTTTTTCAAGGTGGGCATCCTTGTCAGCCATGGATCTCGAGAAGGACTCCTTCTCGGCAATCAAACCATCTGCCTTGATTGTGGCCGACTCCAAGTCCCTCTTGG